AATGACAGCTATCACGGTTCATTAGATACAGACTGGTAACAAACAAACAGACGAACAGTGAAGTCTTAGTAATAGGGTCCCGTTTTTATCCTTTGGGAACGGAACCCTAAAAACAAGATTCCAAGAATGAATCTTGAACGAACGGAAGCTGCAACTTAACATGATTCATGATTTCTCAAACATTTCAAACGTGTGTGTGAGAGCGGCTGATAGTAAGTATTACCTGTAGTTTAAAACATTTTATAAGTGATGATGTTGCTAACCTTGATTATATCGACTCAAGGAAGCTTTTGAGGTGAGACATGATGATATTGGATGAGTTTTCATTTTTGTCAGAAGGAATAAACTACGTCTCAAAATTTAATGTGTGTCATCAAAAACAAGACCAATTTTTTTTATTATTTTTTTTCATTTCGAATAGACCAGCCCCTCTAGCATGACCACCGAAACGGGATATGATAAAGCGATATATCGGCATTAACTGTCAGACTACTATGGAGTTTGACAGTAGTCTGACAGTTAATGTCGATATATCGCTTTATCATATCCCGTTTCGGTGGTCACGCTAGAGGGGCTGGTCTTGATATGTCTTTTATAATTTTTGACATTAGGTTAAGAGGTTAAGAGATTATCCTGGGAGATGATGCTACACGATATCATCACGATGGCCTAAATTCGATCATTGTAGGACATCTGGTAAAACTAGCGGACTTCGGATATAACTAACGGAGAATCCCACCGCCTCCACCAGATTTTTTCCATTTACACCCCGTCCGAAAAAAAGTTTCACTTCAAAAAGAATAGTTAAGGATTTATCAGAGTTTTTAAGTGGTACCTATATCATTTGATATAACATAATTATGGGGTGTTAATGAAAACAGTATTGGCAGAGGAGAGTACAAAATTTTGGACTTTGCAGTTACTAGCCGTTTACTCTTCTATAAATAACTATTATCCAAGGAGTTGGTGTTATCGAGAACTTAAAAAAAAGTACCTACACATTTGACAATGACATTTCGCACTCGCAAACGTTACGAATTCGATATTGATTAGTGCTAATGGTACTGTACCCCTAGCACGAACCAAATGTCAAATGGGTACCTACTGATTTTTAGTTCCCGTTATGTAATTTGTGCCGCTGCTGTTCAAGTTTCCATACAAAATTTGACATTGTCATTTCGGTTTGCAAACTATTCGAATTCGATAATGGTTCGTGCTAGGGCTACTGTACCCTTAGCACCAACCAATATCGAATTTGAATTGTTTACGAGTGCGAAATGTCATTGTCAAATGTGTACTGATATTTAGTTCTCGTTACGTCCGTTATGGCGCTGCTGTTCAAGTTTCCTTAGAAAATTTGACAATGACATTTCGCTCTCGCAAACTATATTTTAAAACATCGAGCGTTTTTAAACTGACGACTCCGTTTGTATAACGCGGAATCATACAAATGCCTGCGACATGTTACATCAGTTTTTAAGGTGTCGCCTATTCAGTGGGAAATGGGGATAGAATCCCAGTGGGACCAATGTTTGAAAGAATACGAGCATTTGTACCCAAGTCACAGTTGTTTATAAAATTTTTTATAAAAAAAATATCATAATATTTCCTTTCATTTTAATTAGAACCTTGCCCCCTTATAAACGAAGAATAAGCTTGGATTTGTTACCTCATGTTTTTTCTCTGTTCATTGAATGATAAATAGCACTTGTCAAAGCTTATTCCGCGTTTATTAATAAGGGGATTGAGGAGCAACCAAGATCATGTGGCACGCAGGTGACATTGACGCCACTAACGTAAAATTATCTCACTTGTAAGGAACGATATAATCTACAATAATAAGAATTGCTTACACCTTCCAGTCCCCGTAGCACGACAACCATATCACGTTTTTTATCGCTTCTAATTCTCAAACTCCTTGGTAATTTGACAATTGAAAGTGCTAAAAACGCGCTATATTATCATACAGCGATGCTCTAGCTACGGGGGCTGAAATAAGTTCCGTTTTTCGCCACGTGCCACAAGAGATTTTTATCCGTGCGGTGACGGAGAAAGAATACAACCCACCGCCCCTTTTCTTCCCGTGGGTGTCGTAAAAAGCGACTAAGATATATCGGAGCTTCCATCCGCTCTTCTGGTGGTAGGGTGCCTAACACCCGCCTGGTTTGTTACCACCGTGCGTATGGTGAAAAACCCGTAAAGTGCTTCTAGCGAGTATCGGGGTCAGCCAGCGTACAACCAGAGCTCGAGTAAAGGTTGTCGCGAAGGATTCGGTCCAGGGCAGGCATCCATCGAACCGATGCCAGGACTGCATCGAACCGATGCCAGGACTGCATCGACCCGCCGGCTAGGGAGACCCGTAGAAACGGCTGTCCCGCTGGCCGCCCGTGGCACAGTACAGGGACCCGAGCGTTCCTAACCAGTTCGCGAGGCTGTCCCATCATGTCACACGTAATCTCGGGGTGGACCTTCGTGACGGTTGGTGACCGGGGCGTGGGGTCCCGGTGGCCACTCCCGGGGGGGGTGCGGGGGCCATTCCGTCCGGCGGGTCGCCGCATCTACCCTGCAGGCAGTCAATCGGGAAAACAAACCTCCCTTACTTGCCCGGACTCTTCGCGACAACGTCCGTTCGTTTTCACGTCTCTTTTTTTCACTTCCACCATGGCCGCCTCTAAAGCAAAGTTTGGACGTACAGCCGTGCACACCCCCACGCCTTGGGGTCGAGTTCTGCAACATACGCGGACTCCACTCTAACCTCAACGCTGTCCATCACCATCTTGAGACAGCACGGCCAGCATTGTTGTTCCTGACGGAGACACAAATACTTCTGCCTGCTGACACAGGCTACCTTGACTATCCCGGCTACATGCTTGAAGAGTCCTTCAAAGCGAGAGCTGGTGTATGCCTGTATGTTGATGAAATCAAACAGAAAATGTACTTTATGCCAAATTTTAATGAAATACAACTGTGATAACGCTTTATTAAATTTTACGGTTGTAATACCAAAATTCCATTATTTACGAATAGTGACATCTAGTGAGCAGCACATATACAAATATTGGAACTATTACGTGAGTCGTATAGTATCAAAGGCGGCAAAGTAGGGCGAACCAAATTTTTATAGTTGTCAATTATAAAAGGATTTTTATAATTGACATTCATCATAACTACAAATCGTAGTGAAATGTCAATATTTTATCCTCCCTTAAAGACGAGACTAAACATTTTTTTTTTGATTTGCCAAATATTTAGTTCGCCCTACTTTGCCGCCTTTGATACTATACGACTCAAGTGTCATCTACCGCGCAGTAGAATAACTACAAAAATACTGGTGCCGATTCTGGCATGATTAAATAAACAAAATTAAATTTAATATTTGTCTCTCCTTTTCATTCTGTACAGAAAATGACAGAGATAAACTGTTGTCAAATTTAAGTTTGGGTTTAGAGAATCACGGCAGAATCGACACTAGTCACCACTAGCTGTATATGTGTATTGACGAGAGTAAAATTAAATATAAAATTGCTACTGGTTACTGATAGTAACCTGAGGGAGTAACAGGGGAAATAGTGGGAAAACTTACATTCTCATTACATAACATAGTTAATTAAACGAAGCGAAATCATAAATCCACAGGCGGACTCCGATATTTACCAGTACAATGGTGTGGATTCTGGTGTGATTCTCTAAACCTAAAATTAAATTTGGCTACTGATTATCCTTGTAATTCTTTACACAGAATGAAAAGGAGACTGATGTTAAATTTAGTTTTAAATTAAGAGAATCACGCCAGTATCAACACCAATAGGAACTTAATTAAGTCGAATTGAGAATTGCAATAAAAAAAGGCTACTATCTGGTAAACCTAGTTCAAAATAGGGATTTTATTATAAGTTTTATGCAAAAACTCAGAAAACTAATACGTTACCTAAACTTACATGAAAAAAAATACTGACCATAATCCTGTATGGACTTAGTATCGTTTGCCTCCTTAAAAGGAAAATAAAAAAATAGTTGTCCAGTGTGACCCAATTTCGTATTTTTATACTTTTTCGGTACATTTTATCGACTTTTCAGAACGTCATTATTTTTGTAGGTATATCAGCGGAGGTCAGTATTTTCGGATATATTTGGGATAAAATAGATATAAAAACACCGTAGCTATCATCCCAATAATCTGTAACTAAAAATGAAATGACAGGCTAATCATCTAAAAGCTAAAACTATTTAAGTGAAATAATTTTCTTTTCTGCAGCTCTGTTGGCTTAATCTATTCAGGAATTCCCCTGAAGTTACGTTAGGTTTTTTTTGTCATCATATAAATAGAGCGCGTGTTTTTCTTTGTTATAAATAAATAGTATTATAGTAAACTGGCGGCCACCCGCGACTTCGTCCACGTTAACTTTAGTTTTATTGAAATTCCCACAGCAACTTAATTTTTTCTAGGAGAAAAGGTATACTTTGTCTGAAACAAGGCCGAAATCTATATGCGCACCAAAGTTCATAAAAATCCGTCGGGTGGTTTTTGCGTAATTGAGTAACAAACATACAAACTTTCACATTTTTAATACCTATTAAGTAGGATATAAAGTATAGTTAAATGGAAAAATAAGACTAGTTTCAGTAAATCTCTGTTAAAATGTAAACCAGTTCGAATGTTGCACGCGAGCCCATGTTTTCACAGATAAATTTAATAAAAAAGGGTACAAAGAAAAAATTTACAAACAAAAATATGTTGATGAAAGAATAAAACCTTTTTGAAAATCAGTATATTTATTGGTATATATTGTCTGTGCAAGTCGTCGGTATATTTCAGTATTTTTTGAGTTGCTTCGGTATTTTCGTTAAATTTATTCTGGTCACAATGTAACTGTCATATCACTTTTCATGCTTTTGTCAATACGTGGCCCACTGCTGTGGTGTTCGAAAAAATATTTTATTTAAGTTTATGTTCGTGTTTATTAATATTTTAGGCACAATATATATAGACAATCGAAGAAATGAAGACTAATTCGAACTCCTTAGCGCTGGTCACGACTTTAATTGCTTCATTACTAAATACTGCATATAGCTATACTATCACTGTAGACGCACACGCCGAAGAATGTTTTTTCGAAAATGTTGAAGCCGAAACCAAAATGGGTAAGCATTTTAAATACACCTCCCATTGTATTCGGAATATCACTTTCCTTTTATGAACTTTCTTGTCAATGTAAGCTAGTAATTTGACGTCAAAAAGCAACCTCTTTAAACTACAAGAAAAGTAAATTTGTTGAAAAGTACTATGGTTCCTCTTACTTATTGTTTAATACTGACCATTTCACCTTTTTTGTGCAGGTTTGAAGTTTGAAATAGCCGAAGGAGGCTTCTTAGATATAGACGTTACTATCACGGGGCCTGATGGGGCAGTGATTACTCATGGTGAGAGGGAGTCGTCTGGCGTGTATACATTCTCGGCACCGACATCAGGAAAATACACATACTGCTTCAGCAATAAGATGTCAACAATGACTCCTAAAGTATGTATTTGAACTTTTTTTTTTGTTAGCTTAAGCCTTACAAATGATTGAGGATATAGTTAAGTAGCTTCCCAGGGTATTCATATAAATATACTCACATAACAGAGAGACTGTGTATAAGGTAACTATAATGTTTATGATATATTCAATAATCCAGGGTTGCTATTTGATTCTTTCAGGTAGTGATGTTCAACATGGAAGTAGGTGAAGCACCAAGTAAGCCAGCAGGCAAAGAAGAAGAAATGGATCACAACAAACTTGAGGACATGATCAAAGAACTAGCAACCACACTTAAAACTGTCAAACATGAACAAGAATATATGCAGGTATATTTAATGCAAACACATTATATATCCCATATTTTTTATGAGGTGGTAATAGTTAAATACCTAGTCATTTTTATTCTTGTATGTATATCAGTTTTTGTTATGTAATCATATATATAAAAATATTAGGCTGGACTCAACTGAAAGAAACCAAACTTGTCTAGCTAAAGCCGGACACATGGCAGATCTATGTAGTTGTATCAACATTTGACCACTGCTTTTGCCAGGTGTCAAGAGCTATTATTAGTCTGAGGTAGTTGTAAATACTAGAATCAACACCAATAACCCTTGTTGAGTTGCTGTGCCCTTGCATGGTGTTGTAATGGTAACTGTATTTTTCTATACCACCTTATAGCTGTAAATGTGATATGCGATAAAAAAAAATGTGATAATTTTTTTCCCTTTTATAAGTGCTGCTTTTGATATAAAATATTATTTTGACTGGTGTATATTATTTCTGAGATAACTTGATATGCATACTGATATGCTGCAAATAATAGGGACATAAAGCTATCATTTTCCAGTAACACTCACAAATTAACATTGAGTCTGTTGGAAGAGTTAGCTTGTTCATTTTATGTGATTCTATGCATTTGTCTTTGCCCAGGCAATGTGGGGATGTTAGGAAGTTGATGAATATTTGTAGATGACTTTACAATTGACAATATTTAATTTATAATGTTTTAATAACTTTCAGGTGAGAGACCGTATCCATCGTGGAATAAATGAAAGCACAAATTCACATGTTGTTATGTGGTCTGTTTTTGAAGCCTCAGTACTACTTCTCATGACTCTTGGACAAGTGTACTATCTGAAGAGATTCTTTGAAGTGCAGCGTGTGGTTTAAAATCTACTCTTGTAAAATGTTAATAAAACATGTTTTTACACAATTATCTGTTGTATTTCTTAATGTGCATTGATGTTTTCCTATTAATATTTTTTATAGTATAATTTATATATTTTTCAATTGACAAAGTACTTTAAAAACTTCTTTCGACATTAAGAAATACATCTAGTTGAAATTATAATATAGAATAATTTACCTCGCCCCTCTATATTATACTGCTTACTTCATCACATCAATTTCTTTCAAAAAACATTTCTGAAACATGACACACATTAATTTTATTTATTTTTGTCTCTTTCATCAAAGTCGCACGCACACAGACTGTAGATATATACATCTAATGTAAATATATTTATTATAATCAATTACATGTAGGGGCGGGTAAAAAGTGTACTTTCTGATCTGATGTGTGCATGATGATAAAAATGTATTGTTTAGATAAATAAATTATGTTTGTTTAATACCTATTTTCATTTATAATAATAATAATAATAATAAATCTTTATTTCTTCTTGTTCGGAAATCTAAGGGCACACGCCAGATTCCCTCCCGATTGATTAAGTAGTCGCATAGCAACAAGCGTATCGAGTGGTCGGTCGATCTGCGCACGAGTAAGGTGCTCCCGGCTCGCGTCGTTTTGTTGCCTAATTAAATTAATACCTACTCAGGTGTCTTGGCAGCCTAGATAGGGCCCCCTGTATATGAGTAGATGTTTGTGTGTTCCACTGTGTTTTGTGAGCGAGTGTTCCTTGGAGATTCTTTTTTTTTTTTTTTTTTTTTTTTTATATTACTAGGTAGGCAAATGACTCTACCCCACCTGATGTTAAGTGGTGATAAAGTCCAAACGCGAAGATAGCTGGTACAGCAGTTATTAACTGCTACACCAACCATCCTCACCTTGCCGGCCCGCAAAAATGCTTCTTCACGCCTCTCTTAAAGGACCCCAGATTATAGGAAGGAGGGAACACGTGCGCGGGTAAAGAATTCCACTTACGAATAGTACGACAAAGAAATGAGTCGCCAAATTTCTTTGTTCGTGTAGGAATAGTGGCCACAGTAAGTCGATGGCAACGTAGGCCAGCGCGCGTGGTCCTCTGAAGAAAAGGTGATGGAGGGATAAGCAAGAATAGCTCCTCAGAACACTCGCCGTGGTATATTCGGTAGAATGCGCTTAATGATGCCACATCACGGCGTAATTGTAGAGACTCGAGTTTCTTAGTTGCCTCTTCATCGCCAATGATGCGGGCAGCGCGCCGCTGCAACCTATCCAAGGCATCGAGTAAGTACTTTGCGGAGCCATCCCAGAGGTGCGAGCAATATTCCACGCAGGACCGCACTTGTGTTTTGTACAACAAGCACAGTTGATCGGGCGTGAAAAAACGCCGCACCTTGTTCAGGACTCCGAGTTTGCGTGAAGCTGTTTTGATCAACGTTTCGATGTAGTCCTTTGGATTCAGGTCTGAGCGAACTTCCATACCGAGCATGGTAATATTGCTCTGTAGCGCCAGTGTTGTGCCCTGAAGAGAGGGAAGGGGAAGGAATGGCGATGTTTTTGCCGTGAAAGCGCAAGCCTGAGTTTTCTTGGCATTGAACTCAACCAAGTTCCTAGTACCCCATTCGGAAATGTGGTCTAAAGCCCGATTGAGCTCAACGACAAGATTCTCCCGTTTCTCCATGGTTTCTACCTGTCCAGCCGCCGCGTGTCCAAAGTATCTCGCATGCACTGTGCTATCGTCTGCATAGCAATGAATATTCGCAAGTGGAATCAAATCATTGATATGCAGCAGAAAGAGTGTGGGGGATAGAACGGAACCCTGAGGAACACCGGCATTCACTGACATGAACTGCGAACTACATCCGTCCGTAAGGACGCGAATTCTACGCTCATGCAGGAAGTCAGCTACCCAGGCGCAGAGCTGAGCAGGCAGACCGTATGCAGGAAGCTTGGAGAGAAGGCTCTTGTGCCAGACCCTGTCAAAAGCCTTGGCGATGTCAAGGCTAATAGCCAGAGACTCTCCCCGCTTGTCTATAGCTTCACCCCAGATGTGTGTCACGTACGCTAGAAGGTCACCCGTCGATCGATTCGGCCTAAATCCGTATTGACGATCGTGAATTAGAGAGTAATCTTCTAGGTAGCGGGTCAGATGGTTGTTAAGGACCCTTTCTAAGACTTTACACAACACTGAGGTGACAGCTATCGGCCGATAGTTGGCCGGGTCTGAGCGGTCCCCTTTTTTGGGCACCGGTTGCACATTGGCGTCTCTCCAAGCCTCCGGCACACGCCCCAAAGAGTAAGAGAGTTGGTACAGTCGCGTAAGCACGGGAGACAACTCCGCTGCACAATGTTTTAGAACAACTGCTGGGATGCCATCGGGTCCACTAGCTTTCCGGACGTCGAGTGATTGCAATTCCGCACGAACATCACGCTGCCTGATTTTAATGTCAGGCATCGTAGTGCCACAATGAGGTAGTGTAGGTGGCAGTGCATTGCAATCACTGATTCGGGAGTTAGCCGCAAAGAGCTTTGCCAACAAATCGGCTTTCTCTTGCGGCTCATGAGCTAGTGACCCATCTGGACATCGCAGAGGTGGCAGCGAGGGCTGGCAAAAGTTGTGTTGCACGGCCTTAGCCAAACGCCAAAAACTACGGGAGCCCGTAGGGTGCGTTAACAATTCGTGGCCAGTACGTGCTACACGTTGGGCATCCGCTCTGATGTAAGCCTTCTTACAAGACTTGGAAGCACTATTATAGGCAGCTTTCAATGAGTTAACCCCGGGATCCTTAAGAGCGCGGCCTCTGATCCAAGCGCGATATGCCGCCTGCTTACGAGAAACAGCATCGGCACAATCGCGATTGAACCAGCGGTTACGTGTGCCCTTACTGATGAGATCAGAATGTGGAATGTAATACTCCATTCCCATTACGATCTCCTCAGTAATGGCAACGGCACTGGATGATAGGTCCTTTTCATTGAAGCAGCGCTGCTTCCAAGGGACAGACGCAAAGTAATCGCGCATACCATCCCAATCTGCCGACCCATAGTGCCAGACCCTGCGTTTGACCACCAATGGTCGAGGGGTTTTGGCCTGTGGCACCTTGACAGATATCAGGCAATGGTCTGATGAACCCAGTGGGGCTCGAACCACAATCTGATACTCCTGCGGATGGGTCGTAAGCAGAAGGTCTAGTAAAGAAGGCGCTTGACTTGCTATATCTGGGATCCTGGTGGGCTGATCAACCAGTTGTGTCAGGTCGTGCGTGAGAGCGAATGCATGGGCAGAGATCCCTGCATGGTCAGTTTTGGAAGAGCCAAGCCACAAACCGTGGTGGGCGTTAAAGTCTCCCAAAAACACCAGTTCTGCGTTGGGAAATTGCGCCTGGGCATCATCTGCTACCCTACTGAGGTGGTCAAACAGTCGAGTTGTCTCAGCGTCGCCGGTGTGAGATCTGTAGAGGCACACGTAGACTCTGGCCAAAGGACCAGAGTCTACATGTACCGCCATCATGGAAAAGGAGGGGTCTTCCAGGCAGCTCAAACGGCGACAACAAACATCCGCCCGAACATACAGGCATACGCCGGCTTTTGCTTTGAAGGATTCTTCAAGCGCGTAGCCGGGATATTTAAGGTAGCCTGTGTCAGCGGGCGGAAGTATTTGTGTCTCCGTGAGAAACAATAGTGCTGGCCGTGCTGTCTCAAGATGGTGGTGGACAGCATTGAGGTTAGAGTGGAGTCCGCGTATATTACAGAACTCAACCTCAAACAGCGCGGAAGGCGTGGGGGTGTGCACCGCTGTACAACCAAACTTTATTTTACGGGCTGCCATCATGAGAAAAAAGTTGAGAGACGTGAATCGAGTGGAGTTAGTCGCGACAAAGACAGGCAAATATATGGAGGCACGTTTTCCCGAGTAACTGCCTGCGAAAGAGATACGCCGACCCAACGGACGGAAGGGCCCCCGCACCCTCCCGGGAGTGGCCGCCGGGACCCCACGCCCCGGTCACCAACCGGCACGACGGTCCACCCCGAGATTATGCGTGACATGATAGGGCAGCCTCACGAACTGGTTAGGAACGCTCGGGCCCCTGTACTGTGCCACGGGCGGCCAGCGGGACAGCCGTTTCTACGGGTCTCCCTGGCCGGTGGGTCGATGCAGTCCTCCCGGCATCGGTTCGACGGATGCCTCCACTGGACCGAATCTGTCGCGGCAATCTCCACTCGAGCTCTGGTTGTACGCTGGCTGATCCCGAAACGCGCGTGAAGCACTTCACGGGTTTTTCACCATGCGTACGGTGGTAACAAACCAGGCGGGTGTTAGGCACCCTACCACCAGGAGAGCAGATGGAAGCTCTGATATCCCTCAGTCGCTTCTTACGACACCCGCGGGAAGTGAAGGGGCGGTGAGTGGTATTCTTTCTCCGTCACCGCACGGATAAAAAATTCAGGGCCTATTGACGGGGTTTGATCAGTTTCGACCTCGGGGGAGCGCTCCTCCCCTCGCTGCTGCTCAGGTGCTGTATGGGACACTTGCTAAGTGAGTTTTTTTGTATTGTTAATAGGATTAGGTATTTCTAACGTGCGATTCTAGCTCCGCGTATCGCGGACGTAGGTGTTTACCCCGGTATTTGGTTTTGGCTAGGGTGACGAGTTTTCCACCCCCCAGAAACCGGCCGTACGAAACATACTTTCTGGTAGCAGAGCGTGGTTGGCTATATTTGGTTAGCACCACTTATTGTTTTGTATAGCCATTGGGCTAGTTGTTAAATATTATTATTTGTTAAATATAAATTGTTTATTTAATTACTGGACTGCACGTTCGATTTGCCTATTATTAGGGTCGTGTAGGTTTAATGTTCTAGTGTCTACCATAAAAAAACTGCGTGGCAGATTCTTTTGTTCCCTGTTTGTTAGCAGGTGCTACTAGTTTAAGATAAGCCGGCCGGCGAATGTGTTCATGCGGTTATCGGCCGTACACCGTAGGGAATTAGGTTTGTTTGCATAT